AGAAAAGGAGCTCTTCCAGATGTTGCACGTTACTGTCACAGAACAACACAGGTTGGGTAAACCTCTGGAAGTTTCTCATCCAACCACCAACTCAGTGTCGCTCAGAGCCTTGTTTGGTGAATTTTGAAAATCTCTAAGGACAGAGATTACAAAACCCCTCCAAGCCCCTGTTCCAGAGTTTGACCACTCATTGTGAAAAATGTTTTTCTATATATCTAGTCAGAACTTCCCCTGACTTGTTACCACTTCACCTTTCCCTGTGCTCCCCTCAGAGGAGTTTAGCTCCATCTTTTCTATAACCTTTGCTTTAGGTAGCTGCAGATAGCAACTAGATATCCCCTTAGCCTCATCTTCTCCAGGCAGAACAAACCCACCTTCCTTGGCCTTCTCTTCATACAGTGTGTGCTGCATCTTGACAGCCCCCTGCTGCGCTCACTGCAGTTGGTCAATGCCTTTCTTGTGTGTTGTGGGACTGTAACTGGGCACAGTGCTCCCAATACAGTCTCACAAGCCCTCAGTAGAGGGGAATAATTGGCTCTGCTCTGTGTTCGCTGCTCTGACCAGGAGGCTGGTGGCTACAGACCTCTCTTTCTCCCTAGGCCTATGGCTGGTGTCCAAAAGGGGTGAAGTGTCCACAGTCTCATAACATTGACCTCATAATTGATGAGGATGACAAGCTTTGGGAGGAGAAGCGGAAGAAACGGAAGCACAAATGGAAGCGTCGGAAGAACACAGGAGAGCCTGCAAAGGCATTTGAGCAGGAAAGCTCAGGGAAAGAAGTGGAGCTAGCTCAGAATGGGGAGGAGGGACCACCACGAAAACAGAGCTGCTTTGAGCCTGCAGCTGCTACAGAGGTGGCAGAGATCACACCCAACAGTGAGGGCAGGCCACTGGAGGAGAACTCCATGGACACGGAACCAGAGGTCAGCTCAGACACCAGTGCACAACGGGAAGAGTATCTGGGGAGCACTGAAGGAACTGCTGCCCCGGTAGCAGCTGCTGTGAGCCCTTCAGCCACGGGAAATGCCTCTGACAGTGACCAAGTGGAGGGGAAGTCAGAGGTTCCCGATGGGGTGGGCTCAGTCAATCACCCAGACATCCCCAAGACTGAAGCAGCATGTGCTGCAGAAGAGCAAAAGGAAACCCATGGTCCACCGTCACAGGGAGGCACACACCGAGCTGGCTTTGATGCATTCATGACTGGCTACATCATGGCTTACGTCTGGATGCTCAAGAAAGGAAAAAACATGGACACTGGTGCAGAGCCCTGGTTGCCAGACTGCCACAATAAACTGTACCTCAGTGGGAAGTCAGTGCCACTTCAAATAGTGAAGAGCTTGTTTTCTAAATCTTCCAAAGCTCACAGCCAGAAGATGAAGTTGGCCTGGGCCAGTGGATAGAGCTGGAGGACTCCTCCCTGAACTGAGCTTTTTTTTTTCCCCCTCAAGTTTTTAAGTTCTGTATTCCATCAAGAACTGACCAGATGAAGAGCAAATTTCTTATCCCTGTTTTTGTTTTAACTTCTGACCGATTAAATTGCTCTGAATTGGAATTCCCCCTGGTGTTCCTTAGCGGCATGTTGGGCTGTGAAGGCAGGGGTGAGGCTGGAGAAGAGGGATGAAAAGTGCACCACTTCCAACTGCACCCAGGGCTGCAAGTTTCAGTTCTGTGCTCTGCACTCAACATGGGTTTTGAAAAAACAACCTAGGCTTGCCTTTCTGGAAAGGCCATATGCTAGCTACTTTAGCATGGGTTTCACTTCTTGCAGAAGATGAAAAGGGTAATCACTTGATAACAAGAGGAGACAGAGGCCAGAGCTTCCCACTTAACTTCTTGGCATGTTAGAGCCCCAACCTCCTCCCAGATCTTGCCTTTATCCTTACTGCACCTACGGCCTTACTACGTGCTGCCACTTAACCTAGTGGTTTAGGGTGGGATAGACCTTTTCAAAACAACCATGTGCTAAAGGTCAAAGTCTACCTACAAAAACACATCTGAAAGCTCCAGGCTGTTGACCCATACAACCAGCCTGAGAGAAAATGCTATAAACAGTGACTGGAGGAAGATGCGATGCTTCTGCCAGACACCAGATGAAAGCAGGCTAGCTCTTCAGGCAAAGCATACCTTTTTGTCAATGTTTAGTCAAGTGTTACTGCTTTCAGTCACTGCTGGTAGGGTAATTCCCTATAACCCTCATAATTATTTCTTGTCTTTCTAAGGAAGTCAAAAAAGAAAAAAAGCGTTGTGGGTTTGGTTTGTTTTTTTTTTTTTTTTAAAGAGGAGAGACACTGACATCTGAAAGCTCCAGGCTGTTGACCCATACAACCAGCCTGAGAGAAAATGCTATAAACAGTGACTGGAGGAAGATGCGATGCTTCTGCCAGACACCAGATGAAAGCAGGCTAGCTCTTCAGGCAAAGCATACCTTTTTGTCAATGTTTAGTCAAGTGTTACTGCTTTCAGTCACTGCTGGTAGGGTAATTCCCTATAACCCTCATAATTATTTCTTGTCTTTCTAAGGAAGTCAAAAAAGAAAAAAAGCGTTGTGGGTTTGGTTTGGTTTTTTTTTTTTTTTTTAAAAGAGAGACACTGACCATGGTTGGTTTAGAACATGCACCTGGGAGAGCTATCCCACTTCATACTTGTACTTTACCTTAATCTTGGTTACAGCAAACATAGAAAAGACCTTTGCTCCTACAGGAGAGAGGGGAAGGAGAAAGCTTCTCCTCCCAAATGGGCCAGCTGATGCTAGTGCAGGGTAACTGCATGGAGAACCAAGCCACAGCAGGTCTTCAGACTTAGAAGTAAGGGGAGACGCAGTGGGACTTAAAGCCAGATGTGGTCCTCTCAAACTGCACTGCTTCCTGTGCTACCGAAGCCACTCTGTAGGGCTAGAACAGAGCAGCCACAACGGCAAGCTCCCTGCAGGCTGAGTGCTGTCAAAAGCCATCCTGTCTTGTAGGTCACAAGTTACTGCCTACTCTTCAGAGTGCTATAAGGCAGAGCAGAAAAAGTCCTTGAGTCTCATGGATTTAATAGTGTAACACTTCAGTACGATGCAGGAGAGAAGTAACACTGAGTAAGGGTGACAGTTCTCCCTGTTTATAATTCAGCACCGAGTAATAGTGAATATGATCTCAAGACAGGTATTAATGTCATCCATAGCTTAAGTAAGCATTTGAGCCAGCTTTTTTAACCTAGAGTTGCCCTCTTAATCACAAGACTCAGGCCTTGATTTTATTTTTATTTTGAAAGCAAGTTGGGAAAGTTTACAAAACCTGACCAAGAAAAAATTATGAAAATATTTAACTGGATTCATCTTTGGTTACTTCTTATTGCAGTTCCAATAAAACATACACCATTTCTATAGTTCAAAAGAAGTCAGAAGGTCAATCAACATAAAAACAAGACGTGCTTTCTTTACATATTCATAAATATCCACAATATTAGAAAAGTTGTTTTGCAAAGATTTTTTTTCTGGCAGTGTTAACTTACTATTATACACAGGCTACAAACTTCTTCCTAAGCCTTTAATTACAAGTTGAGCTATTTACAGACTGCAAAATATTAAGACGTAAAACTCCTTCATAAATACGAAAATAGATCATCTCGCAAAGATCTTTATACTTAATCAAATATCTGGCTGCCCCTCCTCCCAAAAAAAAGGTTATTTGTTTTGCATAGAAATGTAGTGACATGCAATATAAACAATAGCATTAAGTGCAAACAGGAATTATTCAAGTGTCTTTAGTTGTACTGGCAAAAAATACCAATGCTCTGTTACACATAATACATCAATGCCTCTCCAACTATACTATAGCCCCTTGTCTGCACTGCTTTTGAGGGGCAGCAATTCACATGCATTCTCTTAGTTGCATTTTATCAACCTGCAACCTCAACAAAAATAGCTTATAACAGACATTTAAATGAATTCAACATAGAAAGATTTAAAGTGAATTAAAAATATCTTTGATCTCTTCAGGGAATCTAGCAATGTGTAGAAAGTGTTTTAAAAGAGCAAGAACTGCTCCCATAAGAAAGTCAAAAATCATGATAAAATCCAATCACAATAAAACTTTGTCACATCACTGTAAAACAAGGAGTTTGCTGACCACATGTTCGTATTCATGTTCATCAGTAGCTGTCAGAAAATGGCCCCCGTAGAAAAGCACCCTCAGGTAGGCAGAAAACCTAGGAGTATTTACTAGGTGCAACCTAGATTCAGCTTTACACTACCAAAGGGATGAGACGTAGTGAGTGCCAACTGCATCCATACCCTTGGAAACACTGGGTTTTAGCAAGCACTTAGCTATTTTAAAATGGCCTTTTACTCCAGTTTCATACACATGCCTCTTTTCCCATGCAGACCACGAATCCAGGAAAGGCCTGAGCCGCTATTCGTTGGCATTTCTCTTTCTGACATCTCCACCTCGGTACAAAGAGCTAGAAAAGTTGATAGATGTGCCCTATGCATGTCAGCTGGATGTGCTTAAGAGTGAACATTTAAGAAAATAAAATTTTAGCCATGCTGCTTTGTAAGAGAGCTATTCAGGGCAGGGAAACTTTTAAGAGACAGCGGTGTAAGAAAACAGATGAGGTCACTGTGATGGGTGCCATAGAGGTACCCCAAGCCTGACTGCACAGGCTTTGCAGTGTCAGAGAGGGCAACAAGCTTCATTATGTGGTGTCAGTGCTGACAACTAGGGCTAAAGCAAGCCACAGAGCAGCCAGAGGCGTGCATGGGCTCTCCGACGAGGCTGCAGGCAGTTGTAGGATGCTGGATAGCTTCGTCACAGCCTGGTGATCCAGAAGTAAACTATTCCTTATTATTGCTTGTTTGTCTGAAGTCACACACCTAAATGCATCTTGTGACAACAGAAGCTGGTGCTGATGGTTTCCCTCCCAAAAGATTACAGTGGTATAAAAGATAAAAAGATTAAAAAAAAAAAAGCATGCACCAGGCAGGCAACTAGGTGGCAATTGAGTTCTGCTGACTGTTTCCCTGCCGTCAAAGGAAATTAAACACACACAGTGCCAGCCATACAAGCCACTCTGCACTCTGCAGACACCAGCCCTGCAGACAGGATACACAAGACAGACTACTCTACAGATCAGCACCTTCAAGAGGCAGAGAGGTGTGGGCCAAAAGGGGTGATCTTGGTAAGGATAGGCATCTTCTCTTTCAAACCGCTAACAGCTGCCTAATCTGGCATGGACTGTGCTAAGTAACTCAGCGACACTGGGTTTCTCATTTAATTCTTCACAGCCACTGCAAAGGGATAACTGCTGCTCAGGTTAACACATACTTCACAGGAGGAAGTCATAATTAAAACTCACAGAATAGTTACCTACACCTCTGGAAAGATAAGCATCTCAGCCAAGAAAGAACTAAGGCTTTCTTCTTCATCCTTTCTTTGAGATAGGAAAAGAGTAGGAGTAGTCTTGCTTCTATCAGAGACTAGCTTACATTTTCCATCCTTACAAGAGAGCAGGAAGAGAGTTTAACAGGCTACCGGGATGAAATTCTGGACTCCACTGCATCACCATCTGCTCAGCAGGCATGTAATGCATACCTCGGTTAGGAATGATAATACAGGTTAAAAAAAAAAAATTAAGAAATCCCATGTTGTTGGGACAACGATAGTGGAAAAGGGCAGGATGTTGCCAAATGTCATCACAGAACAAGCTTTCCTGTACATCGCATCCTAGAGCTGGGATCTCTGATGCTGGTTCCACACGTACCTGCTGGTGGAGGGAAGAAAAAAAACAAAAAAAGAAGATCATCCTATTCAGTGACAGGAGAAGCCGATGAAGACAACAGCTTCTTTCTGTAGAAGAAAAAAAAATTAATTTGAAACAAGCTAATTTTTTTCAGTTTGACTATTCAAAGCCCTTCTGTGAGTCTACTGTCTATCCTCTCCAAGAGCACTTGTGTGGCTGCAACACTGCTGGCAACTTCCCCTGAGCAGGGGATTCCTGTCCTCTATCAAGCAGCCTGGTTTTAAATAAGGAGCCATCATTACTGCAGTGATATCAATGAGATGGGATATCGTTCCAGAGAGGGAGGCAAATATGACCCTTCTAGCTTAGTGGTAATAGTCAACTGTGATGTAGATATTGTATTTAACCAACTATTCTGCAGAAACACATCATGATGTCTGTCCATTCAGCTCTTCAGAGATAAGAGCCCACCCCTGCAAAAAGCTCAGTACAACTGGTACTTTCACTGGCAGTTTCTCCAGAAGCCCAGAAATGACAATGCCTGGAATATGGCTCTCCTCTTGCGCCCTGGGAAAATCTTCCACATTTGGGTTGAGGTCCATGAAAAGCTGTGCAAGGAGGAGAGCGGGGCTTACCACATCCTGCTTCCCTGCGCTTATGTATTACACATCATTACCAAATCCCAAGGGAAAATGAAACAGCAGGGAACAGATTCTTCTTGTTAATTGCAAAGTAGTTGTCATGTGACTCAGCCTGCAGATCGCGACCAGCATGAGGGGTTTTGTTTTTGCTGGTTTTGAAAGAAGAGCTTGTTTAATGCTGCAACAGCATTCACAGCAGCTCTGGGACCAGAGAGCATTCCTATCTGCTCAACATAGCTCTGAAAGATCTCTGTGCCTGTTTCTAAAACAGAGGTTGCGACTCACATGCACTGCTGCAGAATGTTAATGCAAAATCTGCAGTGGTTTAGAGCAGCTGGTCAGTCAGGGGAAGAGGGAAAACCTAAGGGTCACTCTTTCTACCTGACATGGAGCTTAAGGCCTTGAAATGCTCCATCCTGGAATCCAGGTCAAACTGTTTACACTGTGCCTGTTCTGGCTGCTGCCTCTTGGAAGGACTGTGGGGCCCACATGGCCATTCTGGCTGGAGCAGTTCCCCCTCCTAATGCAAATCAGGGAAGGGAATAAGCACAGTTTGAAATAAAGTTAAAATAATCAGTCTCTCCAGAGGCTATCTGTTTGACAGCCAGTTTCTACCATCTGCTGAGTCTCTTTCGAATGTGAAGCCCAGCACTATAGAAAAACAGAGTTTAAGCGACTGGGAACAACTGTTCCCTCAAGGACATGTTCAGTTTGAGCCCCCTCTTCATATGTCACAAGTTGACTGCGTGCTGCCACTTGCTGAGATGTTGGAGAAGGTCTGAGGCAAAGGGGCAGGATTGTCCCCATCCTGCTCCCTGAAGGGCCATGCCTCTCTCTTCAGCTCGGTGGAAGGACTAACACTGAACAGAGGCTTTGCAGACTCTAACGGAGTATTTTTCAGTAGGTCATCTTCCACCTCCATCTCTTCAGAAGGGAGACAACCTGCAAACACTTGTGAGGAGCCATGTCCCTCAGAGTTCACTGAATTCTCAACTGGGAGCTTTTTGTAAGATAGTGGCTCAGGCTGGGCCAGCACTAATGGTTGATTACATGCTGGATCTCCACACATGTTCTCAATAGGGCAAAACCCATTTTCTTCCTGGGCCACTGGCCCATCTGAACAGTCCATATCCTCTTCTTGTCCTGGTACAGGAAGAAATTCTGCCCTGTGAGGCTTGGCTTGAAAGGGGGGAATCTCTGACACACCATATTTACTGCTACTCAGCAGTTTTTGCCGAACCTCTGCACCTAGCTGGGTTGGGTCACAGCCGCTGACAGTTGAAGACAGTCCCCCAAACAGGCCATATTCCTTGTGTGGCAATTCAGGAGAGAGTGGAAGTGACCTGCATCTCCTCCCAGGAAGAAGGGAAAATTCTTGCCAGTCTGTGCTATACGCCTGCCGGAACTGGGACTGGCTGGCTTTCAGGCCTCCACCTGCCTCTGGAGAATGCAAGTCAAACACAAGGGAGATCACAGACTTGCTTGGCATGTCAAAGAATTTGATCTTCCCCCCCTTGAGGTCCTCCCGTGCACTGAAGGGATTTACTTTCCGGCCTAACCCTTTGTTTGGTGTATAGTAGGGGTCCTGCACATTTATCTTCCTGGAAGGCTTGCGGGAGAATATATCCGACTGGCTGCGTGACAACCAGATATTCCGACGCGGACGGGGTGACTTGGGTGGGATCTTATCATCCAGGGAACTCAAACGTTTTACTCCTGGTCCTTTTTCAATTGACCCTGAGTAGAAGAAAAGAAATACTCTTAGCTTAAAGGAGCTATATGCCTGCATGTCTGCTCACTCACAGAGCCTTCATGACAACTTTAAAGAAAAAGCTGCATTTCTGATGTTCCAAAGTATCTCCCATAAGCACGTTTGCTCATTCCTTACAAGTTCCTGCACAAACACAAGGACACCATTCCCTTCTCCTTAGTGTATTATTGGTTTCAAATGTGGAGATTTGGCAGCCCTGTCCACAGGACCTTTTAAATCTACAACAGTCAAAACTACATTTAAAAATATTCTCTCCTCTTTACTCATGCCTCAGGCTAATTAAAAGCCATCTTTAAGACTTGAGGAAATGCAAATTCAGTTAATGCCATCTTACTACCCTAGGCAGTGAAACTGGACTGCTTCTTTATCATTTTGTGATAAAATTTGCCACCCATATTATGGGGGATGCTAATTTGGCAAAACAATATTGTCTTCAGAAAAAACAAAGGAAAGGAAACTACAAAAATTTGGCAGGAATGAAGAAGTCTTTTCTTGTTTTATCCCAAACTCTGTATTTTAGGGTCCCTTCAAACCTCCTCGCTGCCAGTACACTGACACAGCAGAGATGGCACAGGGTGGTCTTGGAGAAGAACAATTTGCATGTTTCTAGATTTATCATCCTGGCTTCCAGCAGAGGTTGCCCAAGATCAGTTGATGATACTGACCATAAAAGAGAACAAGTACAAAACATAGCTGCCAAAGGAATTGGGACTTTTTCACCCTGATGGGAAAAGTCTAAGACCAAAATAAATGCCCCTCCTGATACCATGAAGAGTTTAAATCATTCCATCCCAGCCTTCATTCAGTACATTATCCAACACAGAAACTAGAGATATATGAGAGGTTGACTCTAATGAATAGGGAGTTAAAAAGTTGTACATATGCATGTGTGTGTATTTATTTGTGCACATACACACACATGTATATATATAAATGAAAGCTGTATGACTAGAACAGGATGGGAAAATTGTAGTTGTTTAGGAAAAGATGCTAACTCCTTGAGTGTTTGGAACATGCATCTGCCACTGGCTCTCAAGGTGCCTCTGAAGAGCTGTGGTAGAGTAATAACAAACAGATATAAAGAAGTGATATCTCCTTTTGATTACCATTTCCAGAATAAGCACATACGGATTTCCACTTTTCCCTTTAAATACTGCCACCATTTAGACTGTAGTCACTCCACCTAGGAAAGACTATGCAAGTCGAAGAACAGCATGTAACAAACTTCTCCAAGAAGATGCAAATCTGAGATGTACTCCAAAGGGAGAATACCAGGAAAATGAAAGATATGGGGGGGGGGGGAAAAAAAGCCAAAAAAAAAAAAAAAAAAAA